CCCTGTGAAGCTAGCAAGTCAATTCCCTGGGGTTCCTTATTGTCTTGTAATAGACACTAACAGAAGACTTAAGGGTAGGAAAAGAGGACAAAATATCCCTTTTCCGGTTGCCTTTAGTCTTTTTTTAAAACCTAGTAGTGTGTAACAAAATAGAAGTCCACCACAGACACAAGAACATTTCCTTTACTGTACCCCAAAATTATATTAAATCCATCTTTGAATAAATAAATAATATAAAGCAGTAATATCCCCCAAATTTTAATTCAGTAAGATACGGCACACAGGCCACCTAAAACATAGTAGAGTTAAGTGAACTGAGTTAGGTCTATCAGAATCTCATACAAGTAAAACCTTGCCTAATCATGTACCATCCTTCCAATCCCTGCTTTACTTAATCCCACTGTTTTAGCCATTTTGTCAAACCATCTTGTGGATGAACTTCCTCGCCTTTGATGACCTTCTACTTTTCCAAGGGTGGTATCTTTTTCCAAGGATTGGTCCCTCCTCATAATAATGTGCTCAAAATAGGGGAGATAAAGTCTCAAAAATCTTTACTCAAAAGGTGCACTCTTAAACTTCTTCCAAGGCAAATTTGTTTGTTCTTTTGACAACATCACAATACATGGCATCAATTCTTCCTTCATCTTTCATGGTCATTGTCTAAAACAATTTTTCATTTTACTTTTAACTTTTCTTCAGTCTGTTTTGACAAGCTGAGAATAAAAGAAAAATGAGATACTACTGTACTACATCAAGAAATAACTTTATTCAAAGGAAATTCAAGTGAAAGATACACTTAACATCAATTTTCTATATTAGTAACATATACATTAAACATCAAGTTTGACATACTTAGAAGCAGAAAAGTTTCTCAAGATCCCAACCAAATTTCTCACTTATGTGCAACCTCCATGACTATCAACCAGATAGGTAAGACTATAAAAGACTAGCAAAGATTTATTAAAAATTACTTTCTCAAAAATGTACAAAATGAAAAAGGCAAAGTATGTCAAAATAAGGCATAAATAGCAAGAAAGCCCTGAATTTACTTTGGTAAATCTAAGGCACAATCAAAGTGAACAGTTGTAAATCCGTGGTCTGACCTGAAATTTTTATGTTTTTAAAGTTTCTATTATGAATTCTGACTCCTTTTCCTTATTAGATTTTAAACTCTTTAAGGGTTACTAAGAATTTCATACTTTCTGAATGCCTCCAATGATTTAAATGAGGAAGCCTAGTGACTAGGCATGTTTGCGGAACATTTCCTCAAAGAAAAATATAATAAAGGCAAATGTAAGAAAGAAATGATACACCTATATTGACGGTCACGTCAATATACATTTGTAATACACCAGACGACATAATGATTTTTAGTAAATTTGATTGTTTTTTTCTCCAAATACATTTTGAAAACTCATGGCACTTGAATAACTGATGGAAAAAATAAGCAACTATTTTAATATAAAATAATATTAAATCTGTATGTGATGAGGTGGAATGGCAAAACTGGAAGGATATTATAAAATGGTAATTTAGAAATTGTAAATACACTTATTCAAAATGGCAAAAACCTACCACTTACTCAAACTTGATGGAATTACACTTTGAATTAGCAGTCTCTACTTGGTCAGAATAATGAGCAAAATAACATTTAAAGGGACAATTCTGATAAAACCAGAATATAAAATTATAAAGACCAAATCAACTCAACAGTGAGAGAGAATGCTTCTCACCAGTGGTGCCTGGGTGTCCTGTGCAGGTGACTCAGGTGCATGTAGCAAGACATTCAAGTAAGAAGAATGGAAATGGTACAAGGCAGCCAGTGAGCGGAGCACTAACCTGCCCCTGCTTGAACTGAGAGGCTATCAATCTATTAATTTTATATTAGATACTGAGAATACATATATTTCATGTTTTAAAAACTAACTTCCAAGTAAGTGGATAAACAAAAATATGGTATATGAGTTGATAAAAAAAAAGTAGCATATACACAGAAAGGACTATTATGCAGCCATAAAGAAAAATGAAGTATCGAAGCATCTCACAGCATAAACATTATGCTGAACAAAATCAATCATTCACAAAATAGCAGTTATTGAATGTTCTCATCACATATGTAAAATAAGCAAATATAGCGAAACCAAAGATTCTTAGTGGTCACCAGACACTGGAAGCAGGAAGGTCAGGAAAGTTTCATGTTTGGAGACAAGGAGTTCATCCTAATGGTGGTAGATGAATTTGGAAAAGAACACTGAAAATGGCAGTCTGAATTATATATGTAGTTATTTATTATATAATATATAAATTCTTGATTACTGAATGTCTTTTTGTGTATACTTATTACCGCAATTAAAAAAAAAAAGGCATTCTGTATTTAAGAAAAATTCTGAAAACCAGCACACAAAAAGATCACTGAAATCATGACATTTTAGACAAATAGGCCTCCAAACTATTGAAACAATGATCCATTTTCTTCTCTCCAAATTGTGAATGTGAAAATGACTTGTCAATTAATAAGATAAACTAAAATATAAGGGAACGAACTATAGGGAAGGTACCACGGGTAAACATCAAGTATCGAGTGGCCAGCTAGCCAAGCTACCAGCTCACTGGGGCTAGGCCATGGCAGCCGACAAGGCCTCTCTCACCCTGATCTTGGCAAACAGCTGAGGTCGAGAAATTAAAACTTAGAGCTCTTTTTTTGCCCCCAAGACAATGCAGAACAAAATAGAGTGACTACTTTTCAATAAAACTGAAAGGTATATCAGCACATGTTTCATATGTGTGATACACACACAGTTTTTAATGATGAATTGTTAAAAATGATTTACCAGCATATGGATGTGCAAAGTACTTAGCACAGAGGTCATCAATAAATGTCACTGAATCTATTTTAAGGATGGAGTGGTCTCTAAGAATTATGTTCTAAAAGATAAAGATGTTGTTGTTGTTGTTATGTGCCGTCGAGTCGTTTCCGACTCACAGCGACCCTATGCACAACAGCCCTAAACCCTGCTCTATCCAGCGCCAACCGCACCGCCTCTGACACACCCATCCCTATTACCCCAGTCACTGAATCAATCCATCTCATAGAGAGTCTTCCCCTCCTGCATTGTCCCTCAACCCTCCCAAGCATGATGTCCCTCTCCAAGGACCCGTCCCTCCTGGCAACATGTCCAAAGTATGTCAGACGAAGCCCCAGAATCCTTGCCTCCAAGGAGTAGCTTGGTTTAATCCTCTCCAAGACAAATCCGTTTGTTTTCCTGGCAGTCCAGGGTACATTCAGTACCCTTCTCCAGCACCACAGCTCAAAAGCATAGGGGGGTAAAATTCTAAGGTATTACGGCTATCACAAGAATCCACAATTAAGGTTGCATAGTGGAATGTACTTGGGGCTATGGGAGGGGTGTGGGGGGATTGTATACCAGGGAGGGAGTGTTTCTTTTACTTTTAAAAGAGAGGAGTGAATGGGGGCGGGGGGCCTGGGCGGGGAGAGAAGTGCAGCAATGAATGGATGGGAATCCAAAATCTCTGTAAATGTTCATTAAAATTATTAATTAAAAAAAATTTATAAAGCACATAAAAATCCATTCTCCCCTAATGTAAATAAAAACTGTAAACTCATTGCTATCATGTTACAAGCAACTCAGAGACCCTCCACTGGTTTTCCAAGGCTGTAAATCACAAGGGAATAAAGTGCTCATCTTTCTCTCAAGGAGCTGCTGCTGGTGGATTTCAATCGCCAGAGAGGGTTACCCTTTGGGTTAGCAGCACAACCTGCTACAGACTATGCCTCCAGAGTTCCCTGATCCTAATTCAGCAGTTGCAAAACACTTTGTTTTGCTTTGAATTGCAACAGAGTACAGTGACAGCAGATTTTATGCTTAATATAATTCATGGTAGGCTTAGGAAGTAACATGTGAAAATGTAAAATATAACCCTGATAAACAGTCAGTATCGTGAATTTTTTTTTAAAAAAGCACACTAAAAATGTTTTTAACATAGGAGAAAATAATTTAATGATTCTGTGTGAGGGCTTAACAAGGAAATTTTAAAAAAGAAAAGTTTCTTTGAATGTCTTTCATTAATTAGAAGGAAATTAATTTCCCATCATATGTTTGGTCCTCACTGTTTTCTGGACAAGGACAGTCAGTCCTTATCATGTTTAAATACTTCAATTAAAATCAACTAATCATGTGAAATCAGGAACAATGCATCACTTTAGCATCTAAACAATCCTAAGTGTCACATACAATCAGTGGAAAGAAAGACCATATCTGACCATGCCTACAGATTTTCCCTAATGAAAACAAAAGATCTGGAAAACCAAATTAACTACTTACAGCTGGTTCTTTCAATTTGCTGATTGTATACTTCAGAAATGGACCACCTAATTTCCTTATTCTAAGTCTTTCCTTTAGATGAAGTCCTACGTAAGTGCTTGATGGTTCAGAAACCAGGCAGCCTAGAAACTGCAGCAAAACTCAAGGGCAAGTAAAGACGGTTTTTTAACCCCACGAGAAATTACTGAATGTAAAAGCAGGAACACATTCAGTATCATCTCGTTTCAAAAAGTCCTTATAATTAGGCATGGATATTGGCCAGCAAGATAGGCACTGTCTACAGAAAAAAAGGGGAAAAGTACAGCAACTTTCAAACCACATCATCCTAGTAATTTTTCATTCTTTCTACTGAAAAACATTCAAGAGCATTTTCAATATAGGAGAGCAAACAACAATAACCACACAATCAGTTTTCCCCACATTTTCTAATTCAAGGAGCCTCACTGAATTAATTGATTGAGCAACAATTAACTTGGCACTTTCCCTGAAGTATGAAAAGAATGCTTTGAACAGATACAATCCATCAAGAACTGGGTTGGCATCATAAATGATGGGAGTGAAAAGCATGTAAAATGGCAGATTGATGATTTGATCCGAAAGAGCATGTCAATACTCCACAGGCATAAAGGCATCTGGCCGAGGTGGAGTCACACAATTTTATTTCGATGCTGGGTTCTTGGGAGGAAGCAGTTTGTATGTGTTGAAGTAGCCCACCACCTGCTGGGGAACCTCGGCCAGGACACACTGAGCAAGGGCTTCTTTCGGAGCCTAGTGAAACACAAAGTCAAAAAGCGCCTTTATTAGCAACTACATTTTTACCAACATTTTGTCTAAAGACTATTTGATCAGTCAATAAAAGCCGGCAATTTTCAACTCCCAGACTTGTATCGTTTCTTCGGAACAGCCCATGAATGCTATGATTATCTCTGTAAACTTCATCAAGTCCTTCTTGATGTGAGTATTTTAGCAGTTGACATTCTGGTGGCTTTGTGGTAAGGAGTTGTGATGCCAACCCAAACTCAAGTGGCTTGAAAACATCAACTACTCCCAGGGAGAAAAATGGGCCGTCTGTCTCCTCTCATGCAATTTTTTGCCTCTGAAAACCTGTTGGGGATTCTGCTGTGACTTTCTTCTGAAAAGAATGGCAAATAACAATAATACTTTATAGTTATGGCCCGTCTCCCACTCCTGCCCCAGTCCCCTGATCCCTGGAGACCATTTATCTAGTTCTATCTCTACAGTTTTCAGTTCAAAAATGCTACTAAGTGGATTCCTATAGTATGTATCCTTTAATAACAGCTTTTTCATTCATAATTCCCCTGAGATGCATCCAAGTTATTTCTTGTTATTACCAGCTCAATTCTGTTTATTGCTGACAGTTCTGTTTATTGCTGAGTATGTTTTCATGGTATGGATGCACTTGTTAACCTTAACCATTCAAACAAATAAAACTGCTCTAAACATTCATGAACACTTTGTTTTCATTCCTCAAGGATAAATACTCAGGCACGTGATGTGATTGCTAGATCACGTTAAGTTTAGTCTTTAAAGAAACTGCCACACTAACTGGCTGAGCCATTTTATAGTCCTACCAACAACATATGAATGACCCAGTTTCTCTGAATTATCTCCAGCATTTGGTGTTCTCATTCTTCTATTATTTTTTTAATTATTATTATTTTAGCTGTTCCAAAAGGTATGTAAAGAAATTTCATCATGATTTTAACTGGTATTTCCCTAAAGGTTAATAATGTTGAGCATATTCCTTTTTTTGTTTTGTTTTGTTTTGTTTTTTAACTTGGGTGCTGTCAGATCAGAGCCAACTGGCACAAGAGATTGCCTCTCCTTCTCCAGCAGATCATCTGGTAGATTCAAACTGTGTGACTTTAAGATTGCAGTGCAGCTTCTTGCCATTAGGCCACCAGAGCAACCTGAACATCTTTCCTTTCGCAGAGTATGTAAGCTCACATGTTTTCTTAACTTTATACCTAAGTATTTTTATTTCTTTTGTCAACTGTATTGTGCCTTGAAGTTTAGTATCTACATGTTCAAACATGTAAAAACAATTTTTTTTATCTTATGTCTTTTGACTTAAACTTATTCGTTCTGGGAAATTATAATTACTTATGAAGAATTTTTGCTTCCATGAAGATGAAATAAATATACTTTTCCTTATTCTTTCCACTAAGTATACCTAAACCCTCTCCCATTATATATAAAACAAAACCTATATGAATTCTAAACAGTGATGAGAAGGCAGGTATGTTGGAGACCTCAGGACCCAAGGAATGACACAAAGTATTACGTTCCCTGGTTTCCTTTTTGATTTATAAATTATCCTGGTATAGATATTGATATTTGATATTGGAGAACCTGGCTGTGTAGATATACCTACGAACATTCATTAAAAAAAACAACAAACAAACAAAAAAACCCCAACTCCACCAAAAGCAAAAGGACTAGAAAGTGGTAGTCTATCAAGAAACAAACATACACATTTAAAGGGAAACATGAGGGATTCTAGTGGTGATAGAAATAGTTTGTATTTGACTGTATAATGATTTTACACTGTAGACATTACCACTGGGACAGACTAGGTAAAATGATCTCTAAACAGTTTTTCATCAACTCATCTTCCAGTTTGATAAATTCAACATATACTTACATATCTGTCTCTCATTGATGTCAAGGGAGAAATGATTCAAAACTGATCTTCCACTGGGGTTTCAGTGTGAACTGCATGGGAGGAAATTGTCTACCCTTGCCCTGCAGGGCTACTGGTGAATTCAAACCTCCTGCCCTCATGTTGGCAGTGCAACTCCTTACCCACCAGCCAACCAGAACAGCCTACTGGCATAAGGTTTTTCTTCTCTTTTGTTACAAAGGTTAAGATAAAAATATATTTTAAGATATCATAACAATACAGTTTTGTTCTGGTGGTTCGTGTTGTTCTTCTTGACTATCTTTTTTTATATTCTTGTAATAAAACATATATAACAAAACATTCAACATTTTAACCATTAACCAAGTAATTACATTTACCATATTGTGCCAGCATCACCATTATCCTTTCTAAACATTTTTCTTCACCCTAAACAGAAGCTCAGTTAGACATTAACTCCCCTCTGCTCCTAGTCCTTCATAGCCACTAAAAATCTTTGATCTCTGTATGTATGCTTTTTCTAATATTTCAAATAAGTGAAACAACACAATCGTGTTTTTGTATCTTATTTCCCTCAGTGTAATGTGTTTAAAGTTCATCCATGTGGTTGAATAATGATAATATAGTTTAGAACAGTTTCTCATATACAGTGTAAGAGGCACATAAATATATGCCCTGAAGTAACAGTATCCAGTATAATCAGAGCTCTTCAAATTAAAAAGGACCATATTTACATATCCTTTGATCTTGGACACCTACTCTGATGCCTTGTTGTGGCTTGACAAAGGTCTGTGCTTGTACTGTAGGAGACTGCCTGTTCTATATGGCTTTGCTAGCCACTGGCTTTGGTTCTCACCACATGGCTGGGGAGAACTACACTAATAATGTGAATAAGGTAAAAAGCACCTTCAGAATGGGAACATGCAAATAAGATGCACAAAGCACTGATGAGATTGGTCAGTTTTACTATTCCACAACACTTAAACTGAGCAACTTCAGAGACAAAAAAATGGGAATTTCACTACCATCAAGAAAAAAGCAGAGCATGCAGCACATCTTTGGGGTCAGAGACTCCTTCACTAGATGGCAACCTAGACCAGACCAGCAGCAACAGCAGTACTAGTAGCACAGCTGGCAGAGAACCAGAGATCAGCATGAGACTCAACTGGAATCGTTGCCCCACAAAGCAAGACCCTAGGACTTTCACCCAGGATTACTGGAGTGCTAGAGGGAGATGCCGCTACTGGCAGGACTCAAAGAGCTTTATGACACTGGTCCGAAGCCATAAGGCTGAAGCTCAAAAGGACAGCAGACACGCATAAGAAGCTGTTCTGGTTGAAGAACTGTTATCTTGAGTGTTTTCAACCTGAATTGTTATTTGTTGTTCCCATTATAAGCTCACGTACATAATGGGTTTATTAGGGGAACCCATACTATACTGTCTATGGATCTGTGTGGAAATCGCAACAGATTAGCAGACTCTGTAACAGAGCAGACAGAACCCTGAGAGGACTGGTTGATAACAGAATAGATAGAAGTCTGTGCAGGGGCATGTTTGACCTCCAAGGACGAGGCTTTGTGCTGCTGATGGTGTGGAAGGGAACTCTTCTCATATGTGGAGTTAGTAGAAGCCAGATGTTGACACCACATCGGCTGCACTGTGTGCTCAATGTTCAAACACTTTACGGTGAACCAAGATGGAGAAAGGAGGTACTTACATTCTGAAACTGTCTAAAAGGCACAAACTGGACGATGTCTCTGACGGCCACCTCGCCTGATGGGGACCGAAGACTCCCACCATCACCATCCAGAAACTCCATGGCACTAAAATCAGCTCCTCCAACTCCCACAATGATAATGGACATGGGCAGCTTGGCAGCATTAACGATAGCTCGTCTGGTTTCATCAAGGTCTGTGATCACACCATCAGTAATAATCAGGAGCACAAAATATTGCTGTCAAAAAAAGTACAAAAAGCTCTTAGTAAGGAAAATATATCTATATCTCTATATATTCACACACACAAACAGTAAGCTGATAAAATTCCCAAACAAAAATCCAATGCCAGTAAGTTGATTCCAACTCAGAGTGCTTGTGCAGGACAGAGTAAGTCACTGCTGTAAGGTCTCCATGGCTGAGAATCTTTATGGATGCATATTACAGCTTCATTTTGCTCTTGTGGAGGGGCCGGTGTGGGTTCTAACGGCAGACCTTTTGATTAGTAGACAAATGCTTTACCCACAGTGCCACCAAGGTTTTTCCAAACCAGAAAAGTAATGATTAATGACACCTGTTACACAATGAATAATTCAGTCTCATTCTTGCTAATTTTCCTTGTCATTTTCTACCCAGGATTCTGTTTAACTGAGATACTCTGGTGACAAGAAAGTCCATTCATACAAAAACTACAGGATCATTAAAAGTTCAGCAAATCATAACATAAAATTGGCACAAATATATAAAAGTAAAGTAAGTGTTAAAGGTTAAAATGTCAATAAATATAGGAAAATGATGTAACTAAAAATAACTGATATAAATGAAAAATACATCAAAGCATAGACCTAGTGAATATGTGGCAACTTCACTCTCAAAATAACAAATGTAGGACAAACAGAATTGTTTACCATACTAAAATACATTTCAAAAAAAACAACCAAAAAACAAAACAAACACCTAACCAACTGGTTAAGGGTTTGATAGAGAATCTCTCAAATATTGTTCATAAAACTTTTTCAATTATGGTATAAGACCACTATCATCAAAAGCCAAGGAAAGGTTTACATGCAGATTGACTCAGAGATGGAAGTGGGGAGAGAAGCTAAGCAAGGTGAAGGGAAAGGTAATAAACAAAAGGTTTGAATAAAAACTGTAATTAATTACATTAATCCATTTCCATTAATGTTATAAAACAAAGTATCTATGAATGCCTGAATGAAAACACAATATGATTTGTTAACTTTCACTCAAATTAAAAAAGCAAACCTTTTCAGAGAATGGTAAAATGTTCCTAAAAAGTTGAGACTCCATCTTTGAGACTATTTAAGTTTAAAGTAGGAAGACTATTTGAAACAGTAGCTAATACGTGGCAAGCATAGACTCTGGTCCAGGCATAGCTCACATCATATGAATTACCTTATTTAAATATTTCACCAACCACATGACATAGTTAACCCACTTTACTGCTGAGAATACTGAAGCAAAGAAAAATGTTATACCAAGATGCAACAGGTAAAGTTTGGCTAATTAAAATCTTTTCAGTATACATCTTGCAACAGCAACTGAGTCCATAATTACTCAATCCTTAATTTGTTAAACCTACTGCAAAAAAGCAGATGATAGCTAATGTTTGTTTTATAAAGTCTTCCCAGAAAATTAATTTTAAAAATGGGGGGAGGCGGGAATACTCATTCCTGGGTTGTTTTCTTTTTAATTACCACTGATTTAATGTTACCAGAGATTATTCCAAATCAAGAGTGACCACATCATTATCTCTGCCCTGACACTGTATCTCCATAGCCCAAATAAAGAAAATGTCAGCAAGAATACCACCAGGCTGCATCCGCCTGTCCCTTGCCATTGAGCACTTACAGAAGCTGTCTGTTGTTGTGTGGCTGCAGCAGCAAACCTGGCCACATGATTGATGATTGGAGAAAAATTGGTTGGTCCATAAAGTTTTATCTGTGGAAGGCAAGCCCGATATGCTTCTACAATGCCTTGGATTCCTAGACACAAAGCAGTATTAAAAACTATCAAGCAAAACTTGTTTACAATTTACCAAAGTAGCTAATTATCATACATCAACAAAAAGTGAGGGTTTGTTTATTTATTTGCCTTTTTAAAGCCTACAGCACCCGGTATACCCAGGTGGTCTCCCATCTGAGTACTAACCAGGCCCGACCCAGCTTAGCTTACGAAATCAGACAAAATCAGGCGTGTTCAGGGTGGTTCAGCTGTAGACCAAATAGTACTTTAAATGACCAAAACCCTGTGTGGTTAGGAGTTCTTCTAAGCTATACATTATAAAACTATAGTTAAGCTCCACTGCAAAAACATATCAATTCTCCCCTCCACCAGAAGAAGGCATTTATTTTCATCTCAGCCAAATTACTCATTTGTCTACAGTAGAACTGCTAAATTTGTGCTTAATTTTGATGTGATTTGGAAATGAGATTCAACTAGAAAAGAGCCATAAGAAAGTGGTGCATCATACAAGTGACAACAAGAAGAAAAAGTTATTTACAACTGGAAAAACTTGTACACATACAGCCAGAGGCTATAAATCCAATGGTAATTCTAGTAAAGGGCTTATTTAAGTAACTTATAAGTTAAGCGTGGTATGGTAGATCATTTCTAAATACTCATTTGCAGAGTATTTATCACATGGAGGTAAATAGTCATACATTTTTAAGCAGAAGTATTTTATGTGGTATGTCCGTGGGTGAATGGGCATTAATGTAACAGAATGTCTTAGTCAACAGTACACATAACGTTAACCACATCTAAGCAAATGTTCTAAGAGCTACAACTAGTTTTCACCAGCTACACTTTCCTTCTGTTACAGGGGTGGCATATCTCAGACAGGGGCTGCTGATGCCTATTGGAGAGCCATAGTTCAGTCACAGTAGATGCTATCTAAGTGAAGTTAGCAAGAAATAAGTAATTGTCATCATAAGTTAGCAAAAGTTGATTGGACAGTGTCATAAAACACATTGCTTTTATGAGTGATGAAACTGTTATTTCATTGAATCTTCCTCTAATACTAGGACATGCTGTATACAGGAAGGATACTAAAAAGTACAAGAATTGGCAATACTTGCTGAAGTAATAAAGAACATCTATCCCAGAAGATTTTAATGTAAAATAAAATAGGTCTCTTCCTTAAAAACTGCCCAACAGAACCCAGATCAACAAGGATATAGGAGTATACTTGGCTTCAAAGACTCACAAGAAAACTTCTCTCTCCTCTAGGAGTTCCAGAATGCCAATAAACTCTCACTTGTTTTGGACTTTGATGTGGTCACATGGACAACTTCTGAAAATGTTAACTAATTCATAAATAGAGGTAATTCTATATACAAGGTAATATATATAGTGGTCAGTCAGTCCAGTAGTAATAAAAATTGTATTCAGGCAGGGTACCAGCAAGATCCTTCCTGCAACAGAATGTTCTGTGGAAAAAACTAAGTCATAATCGTATTGATAGAATATTTTCATCCATTTATGTCATCTTAACTTACTTTCCAATCTGGAAGTAGAAACAAAATTGTACACTGAATTTTTTCACAAACTTCAATTGTCTTTAATTCCTCAACTAAAGCTGCACTGTAGAAAAATGTTTCCTTTTCATTTTAAAGAAACAAATGAGACAAGTCATTTTTAGACAACTGTGGTAAAGAGAATTACTTCAGATTGTCCTATCCATAACCTTTGTAACTACCATTAAATGAATGGGTAAGACTAAGCAAATGTGAGGTGTCTGTGGGCACTAAGGGAATTGGACAGCTTGCTAAAAATGACACCCTTGTAGGGTTGGTCCATGCACGTAGGTATATGGAACCCTAATAGGAGTATTACTGTGTTTTGCCACTCCTACAGACTTAAAGGGGGTATCTGACGACTACCAAGAAAGAAGAGCCAGGAGTCAAGCGTGTCATTTCAACCCTAGATACCTGTGCTGAAACTCCTTGATCCGGGACAGAGAGCTATAACACCAGAGAGACAATGAAGGAGCATCTGTAGAATAGCAGGGCAGTCCAAGACAGTTCGCTGGGCTTCCTGGTCCACACGCCAAGAAAGTTGAGAGTGTGCAGGCAGGACGCTTATAGTAGAATGGGTGTTTATTCAAGGAGGTAAGTTGTCAACTCTAGGCATTTATCCATGAGCTAGGTCTGTCAACGCACAGAAATAGAGTCCTTGAACAGGAGCCTTACTAATGGAGTAGGGTGCTCCCTAAAGTGGAGTACAACTCAAAGAAGTCTGCCTTGTTTTAGACATGCCTTGTAGACATGGCTGAAAAGAGAGCATCCTGATCACAGAACTGTCCCGAATCCTTCCTGATCCCAAATTCTAATCCTAAACTGTTACTTCCTTAATAATTCCTTTATTGTGAATATGGTCTATACGTTCTCTGTGGTCACTGCAACAATCACTGAACATAGTAAAATAAGCAGAGTATACAGTGAGTGGGACAGGTGGTGTCAGAAACGGTGAAGCGGTTAGGCATCCTCTGCCGCACAGGGAACGGCCTTGGACTTGCACTTGTGAACTTCACTTGGACTTGTGAAGTAAGTCACATGAGGTTAGATGACACCTTGTCATTTCTGCAGCATCTAACTTCAACAATCAACTATGAAAAGGATTAACTTCATAATTGTAAAATAAAGCTGTAATTTTTTTTTTCTGCACAGTCTTCTTCGTTTAAAAGTCAGCTGGTTTTTCTCCAGATTATCTGTTTAGAAAAACTATTCTTGGTTGGGCAGCCAAAAACGAGCTCATGAGCTCATAAGCAAGTAAATTTCTAAAATGAAATACCAAGTAGCATCTCAATCACATTTATTTCTAGTAAACAAAAATATTTATAAGACTCTTAAAAAATCATTCCAATTTCATCATAAACATATTTTTTAAAAAGAATAACACTTCTTAGTTTCAAATGGCTCAACTCAACTCACTGCCACTGAGAATCAACTCCAGAGGGTTTTTAGGAAGTTATAAATTGCATGGGAGGAAACTGCCCATCATTCTCCCTTGGAGAGCCTAGTGGATTTAAACCACTCAAGAGGTAATAACTTTGGGTTAGGAGCACAACATCCTATAGATTACTCCACTAAAGTTCCCATGGCCAGGGATTAAAACAAACAAACAACAAAAAAAAAAACCTAACCAACCAATATTCGCAACTAACCACTGAAAATATCTCAAAGGAGCATTCAATTAGTATGAGGAAAATATCCTGGTAAGAAAACCCGAAAGCTGACTATCTCAGGAAAAAGTAGTCCTTTTACTTTATGAATGCTGTAGAGGAAGAGAAGTAAAAGAACTTCCACCTCTAAGAAACGTATACATTTTATAATTGCCAAAAGGTCCAACTGCTGAAAATTAATTCATTGTTTGTTGTTGTTGATTGCCATTGAGTTGAGCACGACTAGTGACTCTATGAGCAAAAGACCTGAAGCCTTTCTATAACTATCATCATTTCTCAAAGTTCAGAGAGTTCCCAGAGGCATGTTTTTTAGGAAGTGGATACCACTCCTGCTTGTTTAGAATTTTAAATTAAGCCTCACATCTCTCTTTCCTTCTTCAGAATGTTTACAGTTATAAAGTCTTGAAGAAAATGTGGCATTTTAAGTTGAATACACAACGGGTAGTTGGGGTACAGAATAAAAGCAAAGGGAAGACAAATATCTAGCTCTTGTTTTCTACCCAGACTAAAGGAGTTCCATTCTTTCTTTCTCTCACCTACCCATCCAATCACAAAATACAGTGTGAACAAGTAATTGGATGCCAGTGCTTTTAATTTGTAGAGAATGACTGTTACTTAGCTGGGGGAAAAGCTTCAAAAGACCTGTGTATGGGGTTATTCATTTTAATCAGAAGTTTATGTTAAAAATTAATTTACAAGTGAAAATACTTTTAATCTATGATTAATTGTATTGATCTACTCCCAAGATTGAGAATTCATTTTTGTTCCAATAAACCTTTTCAGAAGAATTTAGCCTACAACCTTCAACCATCTTAATAATAATTTTGCCCCATAATTTTCATTACCAATTCAATCACCTGGTATAATTCTTAAAACAAAAGCTAAATATACCATAAAAAGAAAGGGTTTATCTCAAAAGTTTTAAATCACAAGAAAAGCAAACTAAGATTGGCAAAGCTTTCTGCTTAAAGCCTTTATGTTTATTTTTTTTTTAACTTACCATTACAATAGGGATTGGATGGATTAAAGTTCATTGGAAATTCATGTGATACCTGTCAAGAGATGAGAGGAGAACTGATGAAGCCTATTTTGCTTTTCCAGGAGAAAAAATTTTAAAATGAAACCTTCTCTCACCTGCCACTGAGGTGGTATCTGAGCACCAAAACCGAAAGCTGGGAACATCTTATCACTAAAAAGCAAAGTTGGGGGGGAGAAAAAAGTGAAACACGTGTTTGTTTGTTTTTTCCAAGCTGGAAAGAGCTTTATCCTTACATTGAAACCAATATAAGCTCATTTCAAAATCATTGAAAAGAGAAAAGATAAAACAAAGATTACTAATGATAACAACTCCAAAAGATAACCAAAGATGCTATTTGGCAACTGTCGTTCTAAATAATTTTTTTGTATACTGAAGGACAAAATTGCTTCTGTATATTTAGAAAAGTAGAGTTACATCCATGTTTTCTAACCTATTATTTTCTACTTAAAACACTACGTAGAATTTCACTGACTAAATACTTCAGCAAACCCAAAAAACTCTAAAAATTCCAAGCTTTTTTTCATTGCCAAATAAAACCTGAACTTAAGGACATGAAATATTTTATTTATGCCACCTATGAGGGATCAACACAGCAATGGGATCCAGTATGGTGAGGGATAGTAACCATGGCGGAGGATAGGGCAGGTTCAAGTCTATGGTTACTACAGTCTTTATGAGTCATAGTCAACTGGAAGGCACCTAACAACAACAAAAGAGTATGAATGTGTATTTTGCCACAGAAACATGGTATAAATGTCATATACTATCAAACTCCCTCAGTGATACATAAATATTCACATATAAGCAAAATATATGAATAATTGGTCCTATGGATTTAGGGATGAGAGACTGGGGACCTGGCAATATAAAATTACATGAATTGCTACTAAGTATTCCACAGTGAGGATATTTTCCCCCAAATAACACAACCACCACAGAAATTACTCTAAGTTCCAATATTGTGCAACTATAAAACACTACAATGAATATACTACTTTTCTCCCTACTCTACATTGTATTAATTTTTAAGCACTGAAGACAAAACCTATGGAATATGTACCAAAACTACTTTTTCCCAGTTTATGAATTGTCCTTCATTTCCTTGAAGATATTTTACTTTCAGAAGTTTTTACTAGTAACAAGAGTGAACACTTATTCTTTTATCAGTAATATCTTCATTGTGTTACCCAAAAACTTTGCTTATTGTGAAAGTATAAGCAAGTCATATATATTTCTTCTTGAACTTTCAAATTTTTTTTTACTATATTAACCTTCTCATTCATCTGCAAAGTGCTTTGGAGTACAGTATAAAGCAGAAACTGCTGGTTTTCTCTTCAGTAACAGGACACTTGAGTTAGAGACTCTTAGTGTCTCTTGGATGGGTATGGTTGGGTGCCTAGATCCTCGTCAAGGGGTTGTTGTGTAGAAGAAGAATCCTGCTACCAGCAAGAAAGACTCAGAGAATGAAACAAGTTATCTGTTGAGGCCAGAGATTCCTGTGCCCGTCAAACCAGGACCTAGACAAGAGAAGCAGCAGTGGAGAACCACAGACTGATATGAAATAAAGCAGACCTGTGAAGGGTTCCCCACAGATCCAGGGCTTCACGCAAGCTTAGTTGAGGACTAGGGAGAGCACTAAAAGAGCTTTAGGGAGCTCTGACAGCTTAGACTATAGGAAGCTGCACTGTTAACCCAAAGGCCGAGCCTCTTTAGTGGTTCATATTCATCAACAACTCTGAGGAAGGAAGATGGAGAAACCTCCCCCTGAACAATTATAGTCTCAAAAAACCAGGTCAACGATGAATCAAGGACAATGAATTTAGTTGTAGAGAACTTTGTAACACTGACCTAAAGACTGAAGGTCAAAGCTCATGCAAGTTTACTTGAGAAGTTGTCCTGACTGTTTCCAACCTAAATTATAACCTGTTAACTTCCCCAATAAAGTCCATAACAATGAAGGAAAAACAAAACAGGAATCACACTCCTAAAAATGAATGTGCCTGCACTCCCAGGGTTCCACGGACCAAAGAATACTAAACTAGGGACTAGGTCCCATTCGCGAGAGACCAGGGAAGGAAGCTAGGATTAAACAGGGAGAGAACCGATCTTGGACCTCTAGACACACACTATGAAAACCAAATTTTCATAGAGCTGAAGACACGATGGTTCTGAGTGTCTATTTCAGCAGGCCGGTCTATGTTCTAACTTATATAGGCCAGTATCCAGAGTCAGGTATGAGTCAAACTTCCAAATGTATGTCTCATCCAGTTTGACAGCCGGCACTACTCCTGAAACGTCTTATTTCTATCATGGACTAAATTAGCATATATACTTGGGCCTATCTCTCAACTATTCGCACTCATAATTTACTCCTATTCTTCTTCTTAATTGACATAGCTTTAAAATAAGTTGTGATGCCAGATAGGTAAAATCCCCTCTCATACCTCTCTCTTCAGCCTCTGCAAATAAAAATTAACTTGTAAAGATAACAGTATAAAGTTTTACAGAATGTTAACTTAAAACTTCTAAAAACATTTTTTTTCACGCATTCATGGTATCTTTCTCATTACTAAATTGCATGGGGTTTTTTTTTTTCTGTTTTTTTAAGATCACCGTTGCCACTGACTTTTATTGAACTTACAAAGGAAACTTGATTCAATTTCACAATTTGGTGGTTTTCCTATTCCTTTTCTTTCCAAAACATTACTCTCTGTGCTTAGAGGAACTGTAACATAACGGAGTAGTTAGAATGTGTGTCTGGAATCAGTCAATCTGTTGCCAGGTACCAGCTGAGTGACCATAGACAAAGCACTTAACCCCCCATGTCTCAGTTTCCTTGTCTGTATAATACAATTGATAACAGTACCTTTCTTACAGAGATGTTTGAGGATCACATATGTATTACATGGAAATACCTCAAATCATAAGATGCAGTTGGTGGTTTATTTAGTGTCACAAAGCCTGACTCATAGCTGACCCTCCAGTGGGTTTACAGAGACAGTAAATTGCATGGGAGGAGATTTCCCATCTTTCTTTCACAGATTAAAACCTGGTGGATTCACATCATGTACCTTTGGATTGACAGCACAACTCCTTACTAGGCCACCAGAAGTCTGATAATGAATTACTAACATATAACAGCACTAACATTTATATAGAATTTACAATGATTATTTTTTATGTCTTTATTTTCTTGTCTTCCTATTCGAGTTAAACATTTGGCTACTAACCTAAAGGACAGTGGTTTAAAACCCACGAGTGGCTCCTCTGGAGAAAACTATGACAATCTGCTTCCATAAACATGACAGCCTTGGAAGCACCAAGGCATCTTCCACAATGTCTTAAAGGGCTGCTATGAGTTGAAATGAACTCAAAACGTTATTCTTTAATTTTATTTTGTTGAAAATTTAGACTATAATATTCAGTAATTCTTAACTTTAAAAATAAAAGCCTGCAAAGGCAGAAATACTCCTCTTTATATAGAGTGAAGATCACATAGCACTTTCCTATTCTTTATTTTCCACTACAGTTTCACTCTTTGATCTGAGAACTACTTTAAAAGGTTTTACATTTCTATATGGTAAATTGTCTCTATTTATTAGTTATTATTAACTTCCAGGTGGCAGTCTAAGAAGATAATTCATTACATTTTTACTTTTTTTATCAGTTAAGAGTTTCATTACAATTGTGCTGTTTTCAATTTTTCATTATACTTCTGTTTTCACTTTTAATGCTCTCATACTCTTTAATGAAATGGAGTTTTTGTTATATTTCCCCAGTCATATTTTCATTTGGGATTATACATAAAGAATTCAATAAAGTAGGACATTTATCATGTTTGATTATTTTTGCCTTAAATAATACTAAACAGATAAGAGGATTATTACTCTTGCTTTAGATTTGTTTACTTTTACCTGAAAGCATCACCCCTTTAAATACTGTAAGATAAATTGGGGCTGGGGAGCTTTTTCAATATATGAAAGTTACATACAAAAACAAATAAAACTTTAACCTGTGCTCAATTTGTTAACGGACTCAGCAAATAAAAATTACTGATTTTTGTTTTGTTTTTTAATCCAATAAACCTTCAAGTGGATCTGTTTATACTCAATCCAGAGAACCCATTAAGAATATTTTATAGCAGCTGGAACAAATTACTCTTTAGCCTTTAAGTGATCATTAAAAAAAAAAACAACAATAATTTGACAATGACTGCCAAAGAAGAAGCTGATCTATGTAAAAAAGTACTTCTACTAGCATTTAGAAAAGGGTCACCTGGACCTCCGTCACACAGACAACCCCAGTGAAAACAGATTATAAATCCAAGAGCTCTTTAGACTTCAGTAAACTATTACATAAACAAGCTACATGCTGTATAGTTTAAATGACTGCCACAAGAGATAAAGAGACTCAAGGCAAACCCTCATGCTGTCCCAGAAAGAGCACAATAAGATAACTAAGAGATGAGGAATTTCATGGAAGAATTAGTCCTCTCTTCAATACCTCATCCCCACCAATTAATTGAAATGACTGGCCAATAAAACAAAAACTGCTCTACTAGGGCCCTTATGAAAACAACTGTTCTCATTATTCCATACTCACGCATCATAATCTTGAATGACCTGTCCCACAGACCAGATAGCAGTCAAATACTCATTAACACCATTGGGACTGATGTAGTGGAGGGAGTCGGGAGACCTCGGATCACCATTGGAGCCAGTGAAGTCCACGCCCACCTGCCAAGTAACAGTTGCAGTGCTTACAAACGAGAAGGTAGGAACACCTGTATTTAGTGTCCAAGGAAAAGGCAGTGATCAAAATGAAAGCGTTCTCCCAGAGCCAGCTACAAGTCATTTCCTAACAAAATACCTGACATTACAGTATTTCTTAAGACACTTAAGCACATTAACATTTCTATTTGGTCTCAGCATGAAGACTGCCTACATTTCCAGCTATCTTCAATGCCTTTCTGTCCATCTATGACTGTCTTACAGGGTTATTTTTTAATTATTATTTATACTAATGTATTTACAAAATTAGAATACATTGTATTTCAGAACAGATTCTTCCAATTTTCCTCACCAGCACCCAACCAAATTGTACAAGCTTACAGGGTTATTTTTGTATGCTTGCTGGACTAATGCTCTAAGGCTTAGTTATTAGTTAAGTCACTGCAGGATAACCATCAGTTTGTACATGGCTACTTTTGTCCAGGAATAACAGGTCTTATCAATGAAGTTGAAAGCTCCAGATAAACCTAGATAATCTGACAGAAGAAACTGTAATAAAGAGATTGCATAAACCTCATTATAAAGCCAGTTTTCAAAAAAATAAACAACAGTGAAAAATAAGGAAGAAGTAACATATGATAGTTTTTAAAAAAAATCCAGTGTAATACTTACAGTAAAATTCAACTGACATCCTCCCATGATATAGTCAAGGAACGTGCATTCCACTGTAATCTTAAAACAAAATGCAAACAGCCAAAATTGAAAATTTCCAAATATTAGGTTTGTTTGTAAACAGAAGCACACTGTAAAGTTTCTGAGCTAAAGAGCATATGCTATGAACCATGGAAACCACATTTGCAGTTGTTATAAAAGCATCTGTGCCTGTTGCATGTCATAAATAAGTAGGAGTTTACTGCTTTTAAGTAATGTTAAGATTGGGATGTTACTTTAAGAACAGGAACTAGGCAAGGATGCCCATTTATCTCCTCTCTTATTCAATATTGTATTGGAAGTCTTAGCGATAGCAATAAGACAAGATAAAGACATTAGAGGTATACAAATTGGCAAAGAGGAAGTAAAATTA